GCTTAATGGATTAAGAATATTGATTAACTAAGTGTACATTGAAGGGAAGAAGAACAGTTGTCTCGTGCCGATGGAACAGAAGGAACTATCACTTCATCGTTGGAGAAGCGAAAGGTACCAAGCATATTCTTGGGGAATACTAGTTCATAAGGGAATAAAATGTGCATAGCGGTAGGTGACTGCGTTCAAAAATAAAAGGGGATATGATACTTAATGGAACAGCCCCCTCCACAATCCTACCCATCATGGAGAGGGGCGTAACAATGTTTCAAGAAACAGCAGATCCTCTCGTTTTGTCTATTTGATGCTTCTTCCCATGAATTGTTCACTGAAATCGTCAGAAACACGTCGAAACTTCGAAGGGGGGATCTATTCGTGGAGGATGAAAGGGTCGTGGTCGCGGGTACCCCCAGGAGGCCCGTCGCGCGGCAAGAAGGCCGAGTCAGCGGACGAGTCGCGCGCGTATTAGGGAAATCGCGTCAAGTTAAATAGAATGTCCCATTGCACGTCCTACATCGCACATCACGCGCTGCGACTCGTCCGCCGACTCTGCCTTCTTGCCGCGCGATGGGCCTCCTGGGGGTACCCGTGGTTGCGACAGAGTGGGGTCGTGTGCATCCTTCACCCTTCGCCACAACCACGACCCTTTCAACTTCCTCAAACTACCTACTACCCCCACCTTCTGGCCTTTTCACCTTCGCTAACAACCCCAATTACGATCCTCTCCCTCTCAAAATGCAGATAGGATGCTTGCACTAACAGACAGTTGACTCTGACCCTAACCGATCCCCACATATCCCTTTGCTGCACATTGAAAAAAGGCGGCAGATTGCAGGCTCAATTTTTGTGTTCAGGGAAATTCTTCACAATTAAGCAAATATGGGGTCTTAATTCAGCCTCCAAGTCATCAACAGGCTCAATTTTTGTGTTCAGGGAAATTCTTCATAGGAAACTCTTCGTTCCCTGATATATGTGCTTTGATCGAATACGTTCGAGAGCAGAAACCGGTCACCAACCAGTCAGGAGCGAAGCTGCTCTCGCCAGTGAGAAAGCAGAAATGGGAACTCAAACATGACTGGGTAATTTCAGCCGAGCGATCCTATAATTGCTACTCAACCCGAGTAAATGGTGTTTGACATATTGTACTCACAGATCAAACTGGACAAACTACTCGGTGAAGGCGCATTTGGGGGTGTCTACGCTGGGACTCTGACAACACCGGATTTCACCAGAAAGGTAAGATGCATTGTCTTTTGAAAGTTTCACATTCGAAGGTGTAATAATTTACTCATAACACATATTTCAAGATAGAAACTCAGCCTCATCTCATCCCCCCCCCATCCCCACTTGGAGTTAGGCATTTCTGCACACATCCGTTCTCCCTCCCCTCGTTCGCTCTACTTCTCAAACAACTGTCAGAAAGTTAGACCCTAACGATCAAGTGCCTCTTCCTCTACGAAGACCTTTCCCTTCCCACCCTCCTTCCTGTTTTTCAAATTCCCATCCTGCTCTATCCCTCCAAACGTAGCATCGCGCCAAATTCGTCCTCGCTTGCTGGTGGCTCAACGGCGTCTTTCGAGAAGAAGTCCATGGTCTGGAATGCCACAGTAAATTCGTTATGTAAACAATGGAGCACACACCGCGCCGATGAAATTCAGAAGACAAAACGACTCAGACGTGAGACAATCGAAAGGGTCCCAGGCAAGAATGATGGTATTTGCTTGTCTCATTGGCATTCTGCTGTGGAGCAATCAAAGAGATAGTAGTAAACGAAACTTATAAGAAATATTCATACTGATTAGTGAACCATTAGTCCTCCTGTTCGATATATAGATATAGATTTCTTTTATATTTGAATATAATATAGGAAAGCTGATAAAAATCACTTCGATAAATTTAAGGTGGCCGTCAAAGTTCACAAAGGACGCACTGTCAGCAAGGAACAGATAGCGGAAGATTTGCAAGGAAGCGCGAATCATGCGGCGCTATCGACACCCGAATGTTGTCAAGTTCTACGGTGTTGCTGTAGAGAAAAGTAAGTTTGCAAACTCGTTCCGAATACTTCACTTTCCCAACTTATATGCGACTTGGAACTTTTTGAAAGCGGCCGCTGCTATACTGGAATACCGCTTTGCTAAGATATTGAATTTAAATACCGACGTAAGTCCCAAGCAAAAATTACACGTAACTTGACTCTCTTCAATTTTACTTTTCTATCCGTTTTTTGTTCTTTCGTGACCCTACAGATCGACAAAATAGGTTTATAATTCGTCTTAATGCTCAGAAAAGTTGCGATAAATTGATATTATCGGCTTCTGAGTATTTGAATGAAAATGGAATGATCAATAGTCACTGAGGCGTTACTGAGTGACAATGTGACCTTAAGGCCTTCTACGACTCCATTCTTCTCTCAAACAACTTATGGATTGCAAGAGCAGAGATGGGGCCACTTGTGCCATCCAAAGTGTGTAGAATGGCTTCAATAGTACAACTTGCAGCCATACACACTTCAAGAAACTGCGTCCACACCCTTTGCATTACCTGTGTGCCTCACACCCTCCTGCTCCCTTCTATCCTTTACACATTTAACCATACGTTCTCAAGAGCAGATTACGACATTAAAAACAGACTAGAAATCCAACGGTAGGGGAAGTGAATCAGGGGTGAAGTCAAACCCAAGATTACAGCTATAACAAAAATGGATCCCTTCTTGCCGCCATTTGCGTGTTCGGCGCATCTCAGCTCGACGCCTCATGAACGCCAAGGCTTCCGGACGGAGCGGCTGGGTATGGCCCTGCAGGCCGCTAGCTGCAGAGCCCGCTTCGCCCCGCATCCTCGAATAGCCCGCCAGCCTTCCAACTATACCAAGTCGAAAGGCGGGCCGAGGGTGCGGGACGAAGCAGGTTTTGTTCGGCTGGTATATGTCCTCTTCTCGATCTTCGACCTTGCCGCGGAATCCTCCGTTAAACTGTTCGTCTCCCACACTTCCCTGCCGTTCAGGAAAAGGAAAAGGAGCCATAGCTCCCAAATACAGCTCATAGTAAGGGTATGGTCAGAGCAAAACTGGGACGAAAAGCTGCTTAACATAATACTTTCAATCTCATGCAGCCTCTTGCATGCTGGAACTTATTATGGTTCCAAATTAGCGCTTGAAGTGAAAGTGCAAGCCAGTTTCAGGCCTTTGGAAATGGCGAAAACTCGAACGTTCGCCCTAACAAACATTCACTTCATATCGAAACTGGTTGGCAGAGAGTCACAAAAAGTTGATGTGTTTATCGTTTCGTTGAGAAATGCTCGAAGTTGGTAGACTGGTAGACCGGTGTGCAAACAAAGGACGGAAATTCCACCTGGAGTCGTGGAAGAAAATTCAGTGCGCAGAAGTTCCTAGAGTATTCGAACATAATCAAGCAAACGTCTACGTCCGTGTTTTTATCCACCTGTGTAGCTGTCAGGGTGGAGATAGACAGGGCAAAGGTGGCATTACCCACGCTTTATTTCGGGACCATATTCAGGGTAAATCCGCGACCGACAACACTACGACTTTAATTAATGGACGAATTCCTGGCGCATCCCAAAAACTTAGGTGACTGGATGCTTCAACTTCCTATTTGTCGTTAATGTCATCGATCACAGGGAAACGTTGCGCTGATTGAATCAAGCTCACTGACACGAAATGCTATTCACATTTTCTCTTCTAATGACGAAAAAAACAGCCAGGACACAAAAATGAGTATAGTTCAGCTCCAACTGTTCAACAAGTTAGTATGAGGTCATGGGTTTTCGGGTCATCCGTACTAATGAACTGCAACAGTCATCAAGTACAAATCTCCGTGGCCAGGACGAACAATTAAAGAAAAAACATGCAACGATAGGAAGTCATCAAGGTGGAATAGTTCTCGTAGCAAAACGGGCGTGGCTCAAGCGGGTTCATCATCGAAAATACCAGCAATATTTCGCGCGCGTGGAATAGGAACGCGCAAGGGAATCCA